TTCTCCAACGAATACCTATGACTGTGATCGTATCCAATACCTATGATCATCTATATGATCATCAATCACACATCATACTAGTCTTATTATGTCATCATTCCCATAATGACACAAGACTAGGGAGTTTAGTATCATTCATAATGATACATGGATTTCATAACACATCTAGTATACAAGAACATGTAATGAATCAAATACTCTCATAAAACCTGTGGAAAGTATCAATACATCTAATGTATCTGAATAAAACTCATAAACAGTACATCATAGAGCACTAAACCAACAGTCTCTCTTTGAAAGCCGGAGTCCCCGATCCCTTTGCCCCGGGTCCTAATGACTCGGTGGAAAGGGTCGTAAGGCCTTCCGAATCCTCGGTTTCCCGAGCTGGAGTTTTTGGGCTCCCCTCATCAGCAACCCCCCACAAAGATGGATCATCCTCTAGTGTGTCCCCTAACCCTAAGATCTCTAAGCTAATGGACATCTTCTCCTTCCATAAGGAGAAGTCTCCCTTGCCGTCGAACTTCTCGACGTCAAGGCCGCGATACAGAGGGGCAGACATCACTAAGGAATACATAATCTCTGACCTGAGGATGCACTAGACCTACCTAGTATGACTCTAAACCTGGGAATGACTAAACCGACCCTAGGAGCACCTGAAACCAGACCTAATGAGTAAGACCGATCCTAAGAGGACCTAAAACTAAGTATTTTCCAACCTAACATACCTAATAGACTCTAAACTGCCTACCTAAGACCTGATTACGTCTAATCAGACCTACTCCAAGGCTAACACTGACCTAATTAACCTAGATCATACCTAAACTGAGTCTATTCTGTCCCCCCTAAGTCCTAATCAGATCTAAACCAATCCAATATTGACTTATCTACCCCTGATTAGACTTGAATTAACCTAATCAGATATAAACTAAGTCTAAACCGACCTAATTAAATCTGATCAGACCTTATCTAGCCTAAAATCAACCTTACAGACCTGTACCTATTGATTTCAAGCCTAACACCGACTTCTAACTCACCTAATTCAGCCAAATCCTTCTATTCAGGCCTAACCGGACAGAATCACCGGACTCTATGGACTGTAAACAGGTAACCAAAGTCTACCGCATATCTAATCTACTACTTTCTAGGATAAATCGATCTATACAGATCCTAAATACCCTATACCAGATAGAATCACCTAAGAACCGGACTCTATCTGTACCAACCGAACCAATCAGACCTAAAACCAACCAATTTTAGTCCTAATCAGACAATCCTGACCCTAAACCCGACCAATCTAGTCCTTATCTAGTCAATACAGACCCTAAACCAGACAATCCCAGCCCTATTTGGACGAAACAGACCCTAATCAGACCTAAACCGGCCCAATCCCGATCTAGATTGACCTAAACGGGACTCTATTGTCCTAAACCGGTCCTAGATTGACCTAAATCAGTATGGGTTATCCCGAACCGGAACTTAATTGACTTGAACCGGTCCAATTGACCCCAAACCGGACCTAAACGGTCCAATTGACCTGAACCGGTCCGGTTTTCCTAACCTGGTCAACTGTTGACCAGAAATTGTCAACCTTTGACCTAAACCTGACTAAACCGGTTCGATTTTAAATCGAACCCGGTTCAATTAGACAATCCCGATTTAACCGGCTAAACCGGATTAAACCGAGAAACCCTAATTTTCGGAAGCTTTGGTAGCCGAGTTAACCCGAGTCAACACGGTGGTTGACTCATCCCGGTTTCCGACTCAGACGTGACTCAGTGAGCCACGGCCGATTTCACCGGAGAACGGCCGAGTTTTCATCGGTTTTCCCTTCCCGCACCTAGAACTAGCACTAAACCAGGTAATCTTACCTCCTTGGACTCTAAACTCGACTGTGTGACTCAGTCCGAGTCTAGATCTGGAACCTTACCTCTCTTCCACCACCGGATCTGAGCGCCGCCGTCGATGTACGTTGGCGATCTCCCCACGAGAAGGCTCCTTTCGACGTTTCGACCCTGAAACACTCGACACACACCGTTAGAACGCTCAGACCTAAACCCCAGAGTTTCGGACTTACCTCGACCGTCGATCGCCGTCGATGTCCGCCACTCCCTGCCTCGCAACCAGGCTCTTGATACCACTTGTAGAGGATTCGCCCTCTCGAAACCTTACTGATCTCTCCGAAACTCTCGTATGAACAAGAACATAAAGAACACGCACGACACCGGAGATTTACAAGTTCAGTACCGAGTTCTAACGCTCGGTACCTACATCTCGGGAAAAGGGAACCACTATTTGCTAGGTACAACACAGAAGCACGCCGGAGAATCGACCGGAGTCGACCGGAGTCGACTACAGCGCAACCGGAGAACCGAAGTTCGCCAAGAGAGAGAGAGAAGAGGAAAACCTAGAGAGAAGACGAAAACCACAAAAAATCTGTTCTAAAACGCAAACCCTAGGGCTCATAACACACCCTTACAAAATGACCCAAATAACCCTCAAAATTTCTGCTTCATTCCGAGGCTTTGGAAGCCTCCGAGTTACTTAGCAGGTTTTGACGAAGACCGCTTCCAACAGCTCTAGCATTTTCTATTGTGTTTATGAACTTATTTAATGGAAAATGTTTAAAATTATTATAGTTTTGTTTTTTAGTACATAAATATACTATAAACTATAAAAAAATATTTTATTTGTGAATTTTAGTATGAATGGTCAAATAATGTCGTTTTAATCCAAGTTTATTTGAGGTTAGTTAAATGAAATATGATTTAAAATATATCCTAAAAACAATGATAATTTAAATTTTATCCTAAACAATAATAATTTCGTAATATAATATTCAGATACAACGCTCACTATAAATATCATTTGATAGCCCATATAACGATTTTATTAACATTGGATTCAAAAAAAATTCTAGACTTTGTGATCTATTTCACAATCGATATCGGAATTAATAAATTATATATTTATATTTTTAATATATATATATATAGATAGATATAAAAGAACTTTTAGACAAAAATGTAATTTTTTAATATATATATATATATATATATATTTCTCACGACATAATTAAACCATCAATGATATAAGGCTATACTAGGCTAAAGGGTTCCTTTCCTTTCTCAATTTTTTTATATTATTCTAGTATAATTTGTAACATGCCTGAATCATCACTCTTCTATAATTGTATTTTTTTTGTTGGTGTGAAGGTGATTTCTAATTTATATAAAAAAAATTACAAAATCCATCTTTTGTTTCTACAAAAGACTATAAAACCCATGAATAAGTGGTAAAAATCTTCTAAAACATCACATTCAAATTAAGTTCGAATCTCTCGTATCTATAATTGTATTTATATATATATATATATTTGACGCAAAATACAATAAAAAATTGTATAAATCTTCTCTCTTTCTTATATGCATTGAACACCAAAATCATTTCGATGTTCAATGAATGAACAATGGAAAAATTCCCAAGAAAATGATATTCTCGTGGGGTTTGCGCCACGTGTCCGTCCGTCCGTAGGTGTACGTCACCCACGCGTGTTGCTTCTGGTCCGGTCGTTGCTATGCAAACGTAGGTTTACTTACTCTCTCACCGTCGACTTGTCCCTAACACACCAATTATACATTTCATTATTTTTTGTTATAATTATCCATTTTTCAAAAAGATTTATTTTTTTATTTTTATTTTTTTCTTAAGATTTTATTGTTGCTGTCTCAATAATTCTATCTGTTCCAAGAAAATCAATATTGAAATTGGATGTATTTACCTAATGCTACGTTACACATGAAGTTTCCACGTCTAGAATTAAAATGAAAAAAAATCTATACATCAATAATTCTCCCAATTATACACACTTGTAATCTTATTATCTCCTATAAAAACCCTAAACCCATTTCATGTAATAACCTTCATTCTTCGTCCACCCCACCAAAAAAATAAACAAGAACCCATCACTTTCCTTCTTTCTCGCAAGAGAGAAAAAAGAAAAAGCAAGAACGAACACAGAAATGGCGTTTTCTTCTTCGGATTCCGAGAACCTCACGGCGGAGAAAATCGACGCCATGAAGAGATTCGAGAGAAGGAGAAAGCTACGGAAGTTTCTTCCGGTGGTCGAAGCTTTCGTCGCCGTATGCGTTCTCTTCTCTTGGCTTATGCCGCCGGTCTCCGCCGTTGAGCTCGCCGGAGAATATCTCCGTCGGCTTTTCGGCGGTCTCAACCGCGGTGTGTTCGTCTTCGCCGTCATAAACGTCCTGGTCGCCGTTATTTTCTACTTGTCTAATCTTCAAAAGCACATCGAACACGATTTGTACGGTCAATACATTTCCTCATCGTCCGCCGCTTCCACGAGATGCCCAGCAACTGACGAAGGAGATATCATCGGAGACAAGCACGAGGCGGACGTTAACATTAACGGTAATAATAACGTTCACGTCCACGCCGTTACTCCGAAGGAGAGAGAGATCACCACTTGTTCCATTATCTCCATCAGAGAACATACAGCAGCAGAATCAACCGATCGTGTCGGAAGACGCGAAATGACGGTTCTGGCACCGGCCGACGAGTGTGAGGGCGCCGTTAAATCAGAAGGACGAACCCCAACGGCGAGGAGAGAGATGGTTCGCGCGATGAGCTCTCTTATCGGCAGACGTGAAATGACGGTTTTGCCTCTGGCCACGGAGGCGCAGGTCTACCGGAGATCGACGTCAGAGAGGCTTGATCGCCGGAGAATCAGTCGGCGGTGGTGTGAAATCGACGATCTAAGCTCGGAGGAGTTCAGGACGACGGTGGAAACATTTATCGCCGGGAAGAAGAAGAAGATGTCGCTGCCGGAAACAGTCCACGTGTTATTATAGAGTTTATTAGGTCTAAATTTCGATTCATGGATAAATAAATTTTTTATCTTATTATAACCAAAAATTATGATATGAAGGTGTCAAAAAGTGTAGTGCTAATGAGATTTTACATTAGTGACAAATCATGTGAATTTAATTTCATTTTCGTTGGAATGCGAAAGATTTTTTTTCTTTTTTCAAGTGGGTTGATTTCTAATGATTAGAGCATAATATTATATTAAATTCATGTTTTGTGGAGTAAAGGAATGTTGTATGGTCGAATTAGTTGGCGTGCACCTACTTGTGAATTTAGGTGTAGATTATTGTTGACATTTTATATGGTTATATTTAATTTCGGTAGTGATGGTAGAATTCTTTGCTCAAACGTTACGTGAAAACTATTTTTTGGATTCGAAATTCTCATAAGTAAACGATAAAATTAGATACGGACAATTACGACAATTTTGATGTCTTATGCCAAAAAGTTTTTGCTGTCCCAAAATTCACCTCTTTTAAGTGTTGACGGGTGGAATCGCAATCTTAATCGCGGCGATTGCATACGTTTACGATGTGTTTGTTGACAATTCAAAACGATCGGTATTGACGGGTAGAAAAACTACTGTTGGTAGCGATTGAAAGTGATTGGGATTAAGAACGATTAATTGACAGAGATTGCGATTGCGATTGCCATTTGGTTTAAATTATAAAAAAAATATCATTTTATTATATACAATACTAATCATTTTTAAAATATTTTTAGTTAGTTTTTTACTATTATTTGATATCAAATAATTCTTAAATTTATAAGTAATTAATTCTAAAATTTAAAATATAATTTTATTATCAATTTAATTTATTTTAAAAATAATGTTAATATTAACGATATCGTAACCCAATATTTTAGTTAGGATTAGAATGTTAACGTTTTGTTGCGATAGCGGACGATTGTGATACCAACAACTACTTTTATAATCATTCGCAATCGTTAGAAATCGCAATCGCCGTGATTGTGGCCGATTGCGTTAACACCGGTCACGCTTTTAGATTTAGTGAATAAAGTTTGTTGTGGGATTCTTCGCAAAATTTGACAAAATAGTGGTGGAATTAACGTTTTATCGAAAAATATTTTACAAACTATTTTTTTAATTATCGAAATTACAATTGAATTTTTTTTAAAGTATTTTTTAAAAAAGCATTCCACTATCCTATGTTTTAGCTATAGATTTATAGCAGTCTGGAATATCCTATCGTCCGATATATTTCTAGTTTTTTTAAACAAATTTATGATAAATATCGACGATATAATTTTATCTTTTTTTTTCAATTACTTCCTTCGTTGTATTTCTACCTGTTCCGACAGATCTCTCCCCATCTCCACCGTAAAAAATAACAAAATCTTACAAAATTATAATCTAATCTGATTTTAAAAATCTATATAATTGAATAATATGTGTTTCTATCATAAACTTTTATAACTTATACTTGAATAATGTTTTTTGTAAAATGTTTATGATAGATACAATTATTGTCTGCAAACACAAAAAAATCCAAGAAATAATTCAAATTTATAATTTTTTATAGGTGAATAAGAGTTTGAAAAACCACGATTATTGTTAAGATTATCTAATAATTTCATAAAATTTTTCTAATCAAGGAAAAAGAATAGTTGGAGAGGCATATACAATTAATCTTGTGTACATACACTTTTTTAAATAAAGAAATGCTTTTTCGTAATAAATTATACACATAATGGGCGTGTGGTTGTACTGAGTTGACTCGGTATAATGTCGTTACTCGTCCTTGTCGGACTTGGACCGCGGTTTCACAAGAGTTGTTGGAATTTAAATAAAAAAAAGTTCGTCGTTGGAATTTAAATAAAAAAAAGTTCGTCGTCGGAAGTACGATAAATAAGTTAAATAATTCAATAAGATTATTTTTAGTTCAACTATAATTCAAATAAGAATTATTTAGATGGATTGTTTCTTTATAATGTCTCTCACATCTTACAATATCCGTAATTCGGGTTCCATCTTTTCGCTAGCAAACCATAGTGCCAATTAAAGTTGTGTTTTAAGGCTTTTTTTTTAAACTTAATTATAATTTAGATTTAAAAAAATATTAGTATCCGAGAGTCAAGATTGGTTTGTTTATAGTAATAGAAAAAAGGACGGAGAATTATTGGATTTTTTATTATTGAACATAGAGAATTACAATATTTATAGATAGAAAATATAATTATAATATATTTTATTTAATTAATATAAAATATATAAATAAAATTAAATCTAAATATTCCGTAAAGAGAATCCCGATTTTGCTTTGTGGAAGTAATAATATCACCTCTTATTATGTACCATGTTGGGGCTATTTCGGTCTCTCTCGAGCCTTTAGTGACTCGATTGGTATAAGCCAATGGTCAAGAATATATTTTTGTATTGCAAAATTCTACAAGGCCACACATATATATACTACTTCTAAGAACAATGTAGTACATGATAATAATGGTACATAATAAAGTCTAGTCTAACATAAAATAAATAGTTTGTAAAATTTTAGGAACACAAATTACCAAGCTTTGAACACACATTTCTAAATATCCTCTAACATACCCCCGCAAGATCGGACACGGGTGAGAGACCGATCTTGGTACGGAGTAGTTCAAATCGAGTCTTTGGAAGAGCCTTGGTCAGAGCGTCGGTGAGTTGATCAGTCGAGACTACATGAACGACGCGAAGTTTCTTAACTTGGACGAGACCACAAATAAAGTGGTAGTGATCAATGGCGACGTGTTTCATTCTGGAATAAAAGACTGGATTGGCGGAAAGGTAAGTAGCACCCACATTATCGTAGTAGATAACAGGGCAAGTTGGCGAAGGAAAACCAAGTTCAGATAGCAGCGAGACAACCCATTGTACTTCAGAGGTAGTGGTAGAGACAGATTTATACTCAGCTTTCATGGAGGATTTGGCCGCAAAGCGCTGTTTTTTGGAGGACCAAGAAACAAGATGACGACTCAAGTAAACAATGTTGGCACCACTGGAGCCAAAATCACCACGATAGCCGCCACAATCGGCATCAGAGAAGGCATGAAGAGTTGAAGAATTCGAACATGAGAAGAAGAAACCCATGTTTCGAGTGCCACTAACATACCGAAGTATCCGTTTAACGACCTGCCAATGTTCCGAGGTAGGAGAGTGCATATACTGAGAGAGTTTATTAACAACATATGCGATGTCGAGGCGTGTGAAGAGAAGGTACTGCAAGCTGCCGAGGATTCACCGATACTCTGTCGGATCAGCTAAAGGAGAGCCAGAGTTACTGGAGAGGACAATGGTTAAAGCTAACGGTGTCGGAACTGGTTTCGCAGCAGCCATATTATGACGAGACAAAACATCGGATGTGTAGCGGCGCCGAGTAAGATGAAGACCATGGGTTGTGCGAGTGACCTCGACACCAAGAAAGTACGAGAGATCACCGAGGTCTTTAAGAGAGAACCGAGCTGCAAGGTGAGCAATAAAAGACTGGACAACTGTCGTATCATTTCCGGTAACAATGATATCGTCGACATAGATGAGAAGATAAATGATGGTGCTACCTTGACGAAGAATGAATAGCGACGAATCTGAAGAGCGCTGATGAAACCTGAATGTAGCAAGAACTGACGAAGTTCGTGAAACCAGGCCCGAGGAGCCTGCTTAAGCCCATATAACGCCTTGTGAAGTTTGCAGACAAATGGGGGACGATCACGATCAATAAACCCAGCTGGATGTACCATGAACATATCATCATGGAGAGTACCTTGAAGAAATGCATTATTAACGTCGACTTGACGGAGAGCCCAGCCACGGGAGACGGCATTACTGAGAATGACGCGGATGGTGGCATGCTTAACCACATGGCTAAAAGTCTCAGTGTAGTCGACACCGGGACTTGATGAAAACCTTTAGCGACCAACCGAGCTTTGAACCTATCAATAGAGCCATCAGAATGTCGTTTAGTACGAAATACCATTTACATCCCACAACATTATAAGCCGGGTTAGGAGGAACGAGACTCCATGTTCCATTCCGGACCAGTGCGTTGAACTCTTCAGACATGGCGGAGCGCCATCGAGGATCTTTCATAGCCTGCGATATACAAGTGAGTTTAGTTTTGAGTGAAGAAGAAAGAGAGGTTGAGAGGGAGACTTTCATGTTTGGTTTGAAAATCTGGTTTTTTGGATCTTGTTGTCATCGGGTGAAGGTTAGTAAGAATGAAGAAGGAGTAGAGGTTTGGTTAACAACAGGCGGAGGAGAAGGTTCTTGGGACGGTATATCAGGAGAAGGTGAAGCATAGAGTAGGAGTGGGCCAACATGGAATGAGAGAAGATGACGACAGAACAGGGGAGGACGTAGGAAGAGATGAAATAGAACCGGAGAACTCAGAGAACAAATGGGGAAACGGAAATTCGGACTCGACAAATGTAACATGACGAGAGACAAAAACGCGTGAGGAAGAAACATGAAGACAAAGAAATGCACTCTGCGAAAGAGAGTAGCCGACAAAAACACAAGGAGATGACCGAGACCGAAGTTTATGAGATGAGTAAGGACGAAGCCAAGGAAAGCAAAGACAACCGAAAATATGAAGTTTGGAGTAGTTCGGGGAAAGGTTATATATGGCCTCAAAGTGGGAACGAAATGAGATGACAGAAGTTGGCAGCCAAATGATAAGGTAAACAGCTGCCGGAAAAGTAGGAGTCCAGTATTTAGAGGGGATTAACGAGTGAGTCAGGAGCGTGAGTCCGGTTTCCACAATATGGCGATGTTTTCGTTCAGAAATGCCATTGTGTTCCATTGTATGAGGAGGTGTTGATGAGAGATTCCATTAACAGAGAGAAAGTTCTTAAGAGCAACATATTCTCCGCCGTTATCGGAATAAAGCAACATAAGTTTGGAATGAAACTGAGTCTCAACAAGGGACTTGAACCTGATAAAGATATGAGATACATGAGATTTATGTTTTAGGGGATAGAGCCAGGTGTAGCAGGTGAAATGATCAATGAAGATAACATAATATCTATAACCGTCGAAAGACTCAATAGGAGACATCCACTCATCCGAGAAAACGACTTCAAGAGGATGTGAAGACTGAATAGAGGAAGAGAAAAATGGAAATTTATGACTCTTATTGAT